ATCTTGAACTGATGAAGGTGCTCTTCTACCTCCACCAAGTTACCGGGGCATTCAAAATTCATTTATACTTGAGGGACTCCTAAAGAAAATAAAGTACTTCTAAAAATAATAGGTCACTACTAGGCAAAGACCTCTGATCATTACCTGCAATGTGTTTCTAGAACAAAGAGTAATGTTCCCTTAACTGGCAGCCAACAACTAAAATAACAATAGCATACAGGGTGTTACTGCAGTAAAACAAGCACTTGGCTAATATAATGGGAACAAGAAAGCCAGCTAAGCCAGAGGCACTTTCTATTCATTTTCAGCTTTCTATATGGCATCTACGGGGAAGTTACAGATACTCTGTGCAATAATTAGAACTATAGGTACTAATGCAGAGTAACCATAGCAAACAATGCTTCAACTTCCACAAAACAATTTCCTCCCCACCCCCTCCTCAGCCACCTGATCTCTGGAAGCTACTGCCAGGAGATGTATTAACACATCAGAGCCATCAATAGCTCCTCACGCTGCTCTAAGTCAGGGAGATGCATTACCCAAGATCACTTAGTGGAAACCATTGCTTTCAAACCTGTCTCCCCAGGTGAAATTTCCTAATGTACAACAGAATGATGGCTTGTAAATCTGCCTCTGCTGACTACATCAGTGTCAGCTTCCATGACTGCAGCTCCATGCAAGTGAAACCATGATCTCGGTCCATCTTACCTAAGCCACAGGTCAGTGATAAGAACAAAGGCAGGCTGGCAGTGCCAGTGCTCAATGCCAACACTCAACACCAACTTTAACTTGGCTTTTTTTAAGCCTCCTGTGGTATGTAATATCTACTCAAAGGCATGAAAATAAGATGTCTTTTCTACTGGGTGCACAAACTTTTCTCCTTGTTTCTACTCCAGCACTGGGAACAGATCCATCTTCAAGAAAAAAAGGACTGTTTGTTTTGCCAGCTCACCTTGCAAATGCTTTTTTCTGTGCATGCCACTACTGAAAAGAATTTTCACTTAGGAAATGTGATGGTGCTGAAGAGAATACTGCTTCTGTTTCTTTGCCCTCTGTGCTCCCTCCCAAAACATAAAAAAAACAAAGCCTCTTTGTAACTTGGAGGGCATCTTTATTTTTCCTCAAGGACAACATGTGTTTTTCCCTGGCAGCTCTACTGCCCAAGCAGTTCAATCTGAAAAAAATCAGACAAGCCCAGAAAGAAGGGACTGAACTAACAGGCACTACACTGGTTACTGGGAAATAGCCTTTATGCCATCAAAAGTGGCCCAAATCAGCAACAGAAAATAGGAGCATTAACTTTTGACCAAGTGATTACACTAGTAACGATCACAAAACCCGTAAGCACAGCTGTGAAAGAAGAAGAGTCACATAACAGAAAAGACACAGATATGAAAACACGAGACATGCGTTTAGTGTGTCCTGAAAAATGTTACTTTTAGCAAGTGGAACTTTTTAGTGCCAGGAGTAGAATAATGCAGCAAAAAGGAAAAATATTTTTGCTAAGTGCCAGAGTTATATTTACATGTTTCAATCTGGCTCATTCGCCGCTTTTTACTTTCGGCCATTTAATATATATAAGCATTTTATTGGCAAGCAACTCAAATATAAATAAAAGCTAATGATGACTGCCTATGGCTTCATTAACTTCTGGTTGAACTTTTCAAGGTATTGCTATAAGCAGTAGATTCCTATCCTGTCATCTAGAGAAGCATCTTTTTTAGCATTAACTCTGGTTCAAGATTTAGATGGGCAATGTGATATTATGTATGTATATAACCGCAACAAAAGGGACAACAAATTTATACTTTAGAACAGAAAATAAAGCAACTTCTGTATCACTGGATGGGATTTTAGATTAAAGAAAGATTCTGAATGTGCACATGTCCAACAACCTCATTCCTATTACCAGAGTGATTAACCAACGCTAGATCACTGGCAGGCCCTATTACCATAAAGTCTGCACATTACCACAAGGTTTCAAGTTTCTGCTACAGCCTCTCAGCAGAGCTGCCATTTTCTGTCTCCGTGATCCTGCAAATAAATTCTCCTTTTGGCATGGCTCAGCTGTCAGGCACCTCTGTTCTGTAATGAACCCATGAATTACATCTTGCAGCTCTGACATCTCTGGTCTTGCTCATCAAAATATTGTTCTTCAATTGTAATTTATAACTTAATTTAAATGTCCCTTTTACTGTGACCTTTTTAGATCAGAATGGCATTGCATCTGGCAGCTTCTACTTCAGCAAGGCATCCTTTTGCAATTACAGTCATTATGATCTCCGCTGAAAAGCCCATCTGAGTTAGGCTGCATTCATGCTATGATATTAAATAATTGCAGTCCATTAAGAACACTGTTAGATTCCAGAGTCTTTTACTCTGAGGAAAAATTGCTACCATACAGTGAGAAATTAGTACTGAACTACTTGGAAATCCATCCAGAAAAGCCAATAAAAGCAGAAGGGATTGTTCAGGCAGAACACACAGTTATGGGGATGAGCTCGTGTCCAGCATTTACAGGACAGCCCTGGAGTTCAGGAGTTCTCCAGGTTCCAGTGCTGGCTCTTCCACTGAGTGACCACTGGTCATGGACAAAGCACATCACTCCTCAGGGCACAACGACAGAAAGCCTGCCCTGCCAAACATGAGGCAAACAACTAACACCACAGCAAGAGCATTTTAAGACTGCAGTAATACAGATGAGTCAAAAGAAATGTTTCATTGCTGCCAAGCAAGACCCTTCAGTGGAGCTGTAAGAGCCGTGAGCCTTTGCCTGGTGCTGCGCTGTCGATATTTACATAACATCCCTACTTAAGCAGCAGTTATTTTAATCTACAAAGGCTTAAGAACACTGTAATTATCCAGGAGGGATTTGCTCCCCTCACTGAAGCAGACAATGGTCCAGATACCCAGTAGCTCTCTGTAAAACTGACACAAGTTTAAGAGAGGAGAAAATAAAGAAGCGAGAGAAGGAAAAAGACACCAAGGCAAATAAAGAGCAGAATGAGAATCCCTGCCATGTGCCTTGAGTAGTGAGGTCTTTTGCTGTAATGACGCTAATCCAAGCACCTAATTTAATATAAAACATAATTCAGGCTCCTTCTTTCAGTAGCAGAGCTGACAAGTTTCAGTTTGATGTAGATACTCTTTATAGCTATGGACATCTTGCCCTACTATTAAATGGAATATGCTCCATAGCAAATATATCTCATTAGATGAAACAGCAAAGTCTGTTTTCAAATTTGCAGCATTCTTTAAAGTGCTCATCCTCCAAACTGGCAGGATTTGATTTTTACTGAGTATGTCTGATACCCAACAAGACACTAGCCCCAAAGGCCCTTTAATTCCAAGAATTTCCTTTTCCCCTCCTCTTTGAAATTCTATCTCCTCCCCACCTGCTGCAACAGTCTACACAATCTGGATCAGAGGAAAAATACACTGCCCTTTCAGACAACAAAACTCCTTTGCTGAGCTCCCTTCTAGCACCCAAGGACAACAGAACCTTAAACCAATCAGGAACCTAACCTATCCTAAACAAAGACTGCCCAATCACCACAGGTAACTGGCAAGTTTTGATTTATAATTATCTGAGGCAGCTTGGCCTGCCACAGGATTTGAAACAAATATAAAAAGGTGGGGACATAAATCAGTAAGTTACTGCACAAGAAAACTACTCCTAGTTCTGGTTTTTTTTAAAGCTCTGAGTTGTGCTATCCGACAGTTTGAAATCTGTCCCCACTGCTCTGGGGAGGAAAGGAAAAAAAAAGCAGCAACTTACATCTCTTCCTCCCAGTTCTGCTCTGTTTTGAGCTTCTAAAT